TACAGCTAGCCTTGCTGCAACAGTAATTTTTAGGAAATATTCTAAGTCCGGTTCTTACTAAGTTAGAGAATGGACTTAGCATATTTCCTAAAATGTGAAATTAATAGAGTAACATATTATTTTATTAAGTCTATAAGTTTATTTGTACTAAGTTACAGTAGATTTGACAGACATTTACATGTTGTCAAATAAACATACAGAATAGGATCTCAGTGTCCACTGAAAATGTGAATTCATTGTTTGAATGTCCCTCCTGAAATATGAATAATTGAGCTGCTTTATATACGTGCTAATCAAACTGATTGTGAAGGCTCATTAGCCATTCAGAGACTGTTCTGCACCAGCTCCAGACGAGCTTATCAGCCATGTTTCCAGTTTAATACCTCACAAACTTTGACACACATTTTTTAATGCACATGCATTTTGAGCCATGAAGGAGAGGAAGATGAGGGGGCCATTGAAAGTTAGTTGCATTTAACAGCTTGAGGTAACCTTTATTCTGAAAAGGTTGCCTTTCAGACACACATGTTACATCACATTGTAACACACAAATCCAAAGGTCATGAGAGTTCACAGAATCCTCGACTCAACAGTGTTTGCTTGGAAAAAGTTCGTAATGGTTGAGGCAGTGGACTAAGAGTGAGTGGGATAAATGAGAACTTGGATTTTATTTTGTTTTACTTTCCTACACCATGGTTGTTGTCTGAATGTATTATCAATCACTAGACAAAATTACTAGCAATAATGATGAGTTCTATATAGTGTTGGATATATTTGAGTTTGCCCGTACATGTTGTTTGGAAATCTTTTCAACCTTTTTACAATTGCTTTTTTGTCCTTGAAAAATATCTCTTGCATTAAAGACCAGTTTTGTCCAGATACATTTTGTTCTGCATTTTTTTGAATAACAACTCATTTTATCCTTTCACTCTAAAAGTGACAGAATTCTCTATACACTCACTAAGTTACGAATCAACAAGCTCTACAATATGTTACATTATTTAAAAAAGAGTCGCAATTAATAGTGGCAAACTAACAGGTAAATACAATATACAAGACAAAGTAAGAATTTGTACAATTCTTTATGACCACCTTTATTCTTCGACACAGCCTGAACTCTCTCAGCCAAGCTTTCCTGTAATCTCTTCAAGAAGGGTTCTCCAGGTTTGTGAAAGGACATTCAAAGCTCTTCTTTTTATGTTGGCTGCCTTTTGTATAAAAATGTAACAGTTCCACTGTTAGGTAACAGTTACAAAAACGTAACAGTTCCACTGTTA